GAGTTGCCTCCCATATATTCTTCCAGTCGAGTGTTGAACACTCGGCGCCCTCGTAAAAGGCTTACCCGTGCCTGGTACCCTTTCGCTGTTGAGACCACGAGGATTCATAACACTACTAGCTTTGCTCGTGCTAGTCGCGTGTTCTTATTTTTACTGGTTGGCCTATATAAGCGATTTGCAGGTCCAGTCTGTCCCGGTATAAGGGCTGAGTCTGGGTCTTTAGATCACGACGATTCATAACACCTACTAGCTTTGCTCGAGCTAGTAGCGTGTTCTTAGTTTTACTGGTTAGCCTATATTAGCGCTTTGCAGGTCCAGTCCGTCCCGGTGTAAGGGCTGAGTCTGGGTCTTCAGATCACGCCTCAATGATCGTTTACCGTTCTGGTAGAGGTATGGTTGTGGGTTTATCCTACTTACACTAGTAGCTAGAGTTGCCAGGGGTAGGCACCCGGCGGAGCGCTCCAATAAAAATTGAAAGCATCATGGCGGCGGTCATGCTTTCTTCCAACTCTGCATCTCTTGTAGTGTCGGTGTCCGGGAATCCGCACGACGCACGGGTATTCACACAAAAATTGTGGCTCCGGCGAACGTGCCTGGTAAGTGCCCGCGGACTTGTCCCCTCAATGGAGCACCCACACACATAGGACCGAAAACGGCGGTTATCACGAGGGCAACAATCGTACGACGGAACGTATGGAAACCGCAGTTGTGTGTATCGAGCCGCTCCCATGACGCATGAACACACAGAGTATTTCCATCTGCCTCTAAACGCGCGTGTGTAAAATCTCCGCGAAGGAAAGGAATGCCACCTTTTTGTAATTGAATGACCACTCGTTTTGCCTCGAGCGCAAATAGGTGGTTCCACCCAAATTCATAGATCAGAGTGCTATTTTGAGTCGCGAGAAAAAGAGAACCAGGGATTGACGTAGCATCCATTGGGTTTTGGCTGCGATGCGTTAGCGCAAAATTGCGGTGGATCGGTTGCTCTTGGGCTTTGTCTCGAACCTTTAAGTATTGCCAGCAAACCATATTCGGAGCCACATCAGGGGAAAATGTGCGAAAGTAAGTTTGCAACACCGTTGATAACACGATCGCTGGTTTGCTCGGCACTGCGGCTCGTCAAACTTCGAGCTCCCCCGGCCGTGCCCGGGTAGGCAATATCAACCAGGCTTCATGATTCACAACTAAAATACCGATATATATTTTCTCTTCTGTTATCATATACCGGACGCACGATGCACGAGTTGTTTGGATATTTTTTTGTTTTTAGTCTATGTTTCTTACATTTTCTGGGGTCTTTCCAGAATATGGATAATAAATTCCCGGGTTACTTTTTCGAAATAAAAGAAACCCCAATCGGATCCTCTGTTAGCTTAGAAATAAGATCCTAAATTGCCAAAGCGTGCTGATTCAAAACACCATTTCTTGATCAATCGAGAATATCCCAGATCAAAACAAAAACATCAAATTATGATAATTGTTCCACCCCATCACATCTGCTATTAATAGTATGTGCAGAGTTGTACGCTTGTCCACTCTAATGTGCCTCAAATCTCACCCCACAGAACAATTAGATGAGACACTTCGCATTTTTCTTGTAAATTCTCGTTTTGATTCTAGTTGTTTAAGATTTGATCTGTGAAATTCTCAATTTGATCCAGAAATGGTGTACTCCGACTACCCTACAGCTTTCAACAATGCAAGAGGAGGGGTATTGATACCCACAGCGATCAAATGACTTTTTTTAGTACGCATTGTACGTGTGTTTGCTTACACTCGACCATCATTATTGTAACGGGGTTACACGGGTGTGGCGTACACATGGGTACGGAGTACCCGAAGAGTTAACAGCCTCTCAGTACATGA